TAAATACGCAACTGTATTTAACGTGCCGCCGCCGCCGCATGCATGCGTGAGTGCGTGTGTCTATACGCGGCCGCAGCGCAGATCGTTTATTATTTACCGCCGCTTATGTGCCTCCGCGAAGACACCGAGTGGGAGGAGGGAGAAGCTAGCAGCGCACCACGACCAACGGGATAAAAGGGAGCGAGAATGGGGGTCCGCCACACCGCCTGGTATTACCGGACGACAAAGGCCAGAGGAGTCGCGTTTTTTATCCCGACCAACTGAAAAAACATACTCCGGCTATCAGCGGCTTTTCTTCCTTTTGCTTCTTCTCTCCTCTAGAGAACACGCGCTCGAGCACGCTTGTGCGTATGCGTCGCCTTATAACTCGATATCGAGCGGAGCCACTGATATAGAGGGACATTCCGTGGAATTCGGCGTTAAAGAACTGCCGGTACGGCCGAGAAATCCGCGCGTTTGTAAACCGGTTGCGCGAACGCCATTGGAATTCGAGTGAAAGTAATCAAGTGGATGAACCACGCCACGCGGTTCACGAACCAGAGTTAGGAGTCGTAAGTGTAGGCGCAAGGTGTTCTTCGATACAACTATAAAAGTTGATTGGCCGTTAATGTATATCTTAATTCCCGAGGTCGGTGCCTCTGGCTAATGGCGATTTTATTGCTCGTTCATTTTATCTCTCTACGCTTCCGTGAATCTCGCCGATCCGTACGCCGATCGACACGTGTATGTATGTATCGCGTCGTTATTCCGATACCAACGAGAAACAGGAATTCGTGGGTGTGAAAACTCGTGGCAATTGGTATCGCGACGATCGATGCGGGCGTGCAATAGTAAAAGCTCTATTGCAACGTTCGAACCTACGGAATGAGTTTTCTTACGGTAATCATCGCCGCTGTAAAGGCTCTAAAACAGGGTAGAGAGAGTCGATTGAGGGGAACAGCTATTCCTCAGGCACCGCAATATAATTCTTTATTACGCCCTCGGGACAAGGTGATTTTTCAAAACAAAATTCTACCGCGGATAATGCCTCGCGATAAAAAGAAAAAAAAGAGGAGAAAACAAAGGAAACGGCGAGGAGAAAAACAAACAGAGGACTCGGTCGCGTCTTAAACGCGAGCCTAACCCTCGGCGAGGGAGGGTGGTGGGGGTAGGTTGACTCGATTTTATTAGGATGACGCGACAACTGTCACGTGACTGAAATTTCGATGCGAAACGTCGACGAGGTACGAGATCCCTTATGGTTCAAGAGGGATCGAAGGGCGAATAGGGAAGCTGGAGGAGGGAAAACATCAGGGCGGAGCCTGAACACAGGAGGAGGAATAAAACGCGCAAACTCGATACACGCCTCTCTCTTTCTCTCCCTTTTCTCCCGTTTTACTCTTCGACCCAACCACCCCATCCGGTTTTCCTCTTTTCACCTTTATATAGATTTTTTACCTAGTCGACCCTTCTCTTCCTTTCGTTCAGGCTTGCGCAAACTTCTCTACCTAGCAGCCTATCTTTCTCTCGCCAGTCGTTCCTACACTTCTTCCATTCCTACCCGTAACAACTTACTTGGCCGAACGTTCTCTTACTTACTCGGTTACGCATAAACCAGTTATACTTTTAGGTTATAAGAACGATCGATACTACGGGTCGATTTAGATCGAGATCGCAGGAAAGTCAGACGAGATAATTATTTTCAGAAGGTACGTAGTGACATCCTACGGATGCTGCGGTCATTACACTCGCCTTTCCACGCTTTTTATCGTCGCGTTTCAAAGTCACGCTTTCGTACTTCGCTTTGGAATCGTCCTTTCGCAACAAGTTATCGTACTTCGTTATTATCGTGCGTTTATTTTCACTCACCGTACGCTGAGGACGATGGCGTGGGTGGTCGTCGTGGATAAAGGGCCTCGAATCGACGAGTATTATCTTCCAGTAATTTACGATGCGCATGCGTTCCTCGAGGTTCACTTCACTTGTACACACAACGCGAGAACACAACACGGGTCAAAAAGGACGCGACGCGAAGCTCGTACGAATAGGACACGAAGTCTCCCGAACGCGAAAAACATTGCATCACGCAGCTGCCATCTGTTTTCATGCTTTTCGAACGCTGGACGCTTCGAATATCTGACCACCTCACCCCACCCCCCCATCCGCCCCACCCACACATTTCTTTCCTCTAGTCCGTCTTATTAAATTCTAATTTATCGCGTTGTATCGCTAATTACCGCTTTCGTTAATCATCCCCCGCAAGGAGACCCACATTTTACACGGAAATAAGAAGGTAACTGATCGCAATCGATCGAAAATACGCGATAAAACGATCAAAAATGCGTAGGTTTTCGAATAATGGACTCGTCCATTCCGCTCTAACGAATTTCTCCTTTTAACACTTATATATCGTCGTTGTTACGAAAAATAACACACTCACTGCACTTCCTGCACTCCAAGGCACCTCTGGACACTAATCGCTGTATCGAATTTGCACTAATTACGCCAAAATGGGAAAAAGTATCGCGACCGAGCGTCTTTGTGGCTATCCAAAGAATCGACGAAAGGGCACTAAGGTTCGGCTCCGACGTTGCCAATTTTTCACGTAATTCGAACAACTAGATCGAGTAACTAGATATATTTCGTCGTTAAAAATGGAAAACTATTAATACGTTGTTAACAAAATGTGCACTAACTATTTCTCCTATTGTATTAATTCTCGTTAATTATACGACCTGACGGAAATTACTAACTCATTGTCTATGAATTATTTTTCAATGCTCAATTGATTAACGCATTGCGCGGAGTGGCTGTGCGCATCGGAGGTAAATGGAGCGACCCCAAGTTATTACAACTACGCGTTTAACATTAAATTGTAATTAGTCGGTTCAGGTATAAATCCTTCGAAGACAGAGTTTTCGTGGGTAACAATATTCCCCCTTTACATTCGTCGGATATTATATATGCGTTAGCCCGTGACAAATTATACGTGGAAATGTTTTTCGTGGAAGAAGGAGAGTTTGTAAAGGGGGGCCAGCGAGAATCGCGTGTCAGAGATGCTGTCAGATCACGGATCCCCAGGTAGGTATACACGGTATTAGCAGTGTGCATTCTTAAAGACTGGTCACCGACACCCTGTTATGTTTACCGTGGTTAGTTAATACCCAGAAGGGCGTTAACAGACAATGTCCAGTTGAATAGGCAACCGTTTAAGGGTTTTCCCAAACCGAGGTACTTCTGGCCTGCTAACCGCGGTCCCCCGCAAATCGCAATACTGTCGTGCTGTTCGAGTTCAATAGAACAATGAACGCGGAAGAAAGGGTCTATGTAAAGTGTTATTAATTCCTTGATTAGGGCAGAGTATGCCTGTGGCACAGGTAGAAAATAAAAGTGCCTACGTGCTCCACGTTGACACTTGCTCCGACAACCTAGCGAAATATTTTATTGCGAGACAAAACGTACGTTGCCCGGGAATCATTTTTAAACATCACCCAGCTAATGCACTATTATTTCAACAATCTGTCCGCGAGGGTGGCCGTAAAAATACCTACTTAATCGTCCATCGGCATATCTTTCGGAATATTTATTGTGTGCTAAAGCATTTTTCTTCTTCTCTTTCGCCACAATCGCATTGTAAACCTTGCGTAAATATTGTAAAAAAGGATTCCAGCGTGTACGTGCTTCGCGCGAAATTTTGCGCAGCGCCATCTGGACAATTGTTACTAGATTTTCTTTTTTCCGTTACTCAGAAACCAAAGTGACTAACTTTGTCGAATCAAATTTGTTAAATGAGATTTATTCGTGAAAAATTACGCACGAAGCATGCGCTTCGATACTGAAATCGCAAGAATATGAAAGAGTAGAGTTAACCTTTTTGACTTTCGAGTGGTTCGTGCGTTAAAGCAGCACCGCAGATGTTAATTTTGAATTTCTTTTTTCCCCCCATACGCGTCAGATCGCTACGCGATGAACCGCGATTATAGAGAAAATTACCAGGCGATATCTTCGAAATTGTGAAGTTACACGTACAGAAGTACGTGTGGTACGCGCATCGAGACATGTGTGATGCTCGTGCAACTCGTTGCACAAGAGTTCACTATCTCTCACTCAATTTGAGCCTCATCCGCCGTAAGCGGATCGACCAGGCTGGCCTTTTAACGTCGGATAGTCTCGCCTCTCCTGGCTCTAGAGCATAGACGCCTATAACAAACATTATCCGCCATAATGCCCCCGTGTAAACATACCTACCAACGTGCATCATCGTTTCTCTCCTCTTCTCCTCCTGCCCTCTGTCCATGGTCCGTCGACCGGATAAAAACTTGCAAGTTTATTTAGCCGTTTAGCATCTAGCGGGAAGTTAAGTTTTTCGGATAAGCCGCCTTTTTAGCATCGTCCCTGCTTCCCTTCGCTTTCTTCCGGTTTAGCACGCGCCGCTACCCGACCCGTCCTTCCGCTCTTTTTCTACCGATTCTTCGTCGATCTGTTTCGAGCGAATTAAGATTTTGCGAGGAGGTTGGAGAACGTAGGGGTAATTTGCATGAGAGAAATGTGAATTCGTGGGTGGGTGAATAAGAGAGGTCGGTGAGTCTGTATTGGCAGGTCTTTCGAGGCGTTCGTGTAGCGTTCCCTTAGTCCTGAAAAGGGCCCCCATGGGAGGACATTCATACGAATATCCCCACCCCTGTCGGGCCCACTCTGAAATCCCCACCCCCGTTTTCGGGAAGGGACCGAGGTAGGGCCTGGAAAACTATTTAGGGAGGTCACGGTGGGGGTAGATCACAGTTTGACCGAATCCTTGTACGAGGCACGAGGTATTCGCGCTTCGCATAAACGTGTAGTTTGTTACAACGTGCGTTACTTTTCCAACGAGGACGAGCAGTTTAGTACGGGGGTGCGGATCTGTCCGCACTCGAAAATCGTACCAAAGACGAAGAGTATCTGTGATAGTTTGGATATCAGTGCTGTGATATACAAGTGAAAATTTGACAATCGTACTTTATCCTTTGGATTTACACGAGTGCATGTCGGGATATTTCGACTATTCTGGTACGATCGATAACTTGGTGAGTGGTCGCGCCGACTAAGAGAATCTATGCGCCTTTGAACGGCAGGAATCTCGTCGAAGGATTGGCGAGTTACGGAAGATGGAAAGGGGCAAAGGCGCGTGTCTATCATCCGGAAAATTGTCGTTCGCAACAATAGAGGCGGCTTCTTTCGCGTTGACGTCCATTGTACCATAGTTCTCCTCTCTCGGAAAGAATGCTAATTTTTTCATTGTGCCCGGGCACGTCGACGAAAAGCGTTACTATCCGCGTCTCACGTCCGTGCACCTTGTACAATGCATTTCCTAAAAATCGCGGTAGGAGCGTGTTATTGTTGCGAGCGAAAACCCGGCGTAGACATTTACCTCGAGAAAAGAAAAATCCCGCAGTTGGTTTGAAATTGGAGAAACTGAAAGGCGATCGATTATAAAGAAGCGCGTGATTATGGTTGCAGGTGGAGGAGTACGAAGGTTACGGTTGTGCAAGGAACGGCAACGTGTCGGTGACAGAGGGACCGACGAGCAAGGTGTCGGAGGGCAACACGAAGCTATCGTCGCAATCGGGCCAGAACAATCATCGGGAGGAGAACAGCTGGTGGGCGGCGGAGGAGGGCGGAGGTCAAGAGATAAGGGAGCGTGATAAGGGTGCAGCGGTGGCGGGTGAGCTGGCTTGCCTCGCGGGTTACATGGCGGGGTACTTGAAGGCGGCGGGCGCCACTTGCGCCCCGACCGGAAGTCCTCAGTACCATCCCCACAGTCATCCGGCGATGGGGGTTGGTACTCACCCACATCCGCATTCTCACCCGCACCCGGGTGCACCACATCCTGGACTGCCTTCACCCTTTGCTCTCGCCACACACGGTCATCCACATCCCCACCCCTTGGAACATGGACTCGCAGCTTTTCCGCAAGGTACGTCCACCCTTCGATTCTTCTTTTTTCTATACTTTTCTCTCTCTCCTTCGATTATCGATGTCGCCGATTCAATTGATTATATTGGTGGAGGACGCGAATAGTTGAAGGGTTGCGGCGGGTAACCCGAACGAGGAGTATTGACATTTTCGAGCAGGTGAAAGTATTGAGGTAGAATCGTGAGGTGGCGGTAGCTGTTCACTCGAGGACTTTCCTTCGGTATTTCTACCTATTGCTCTCTTTCTGCTTCTCGGTCCTTTTGCCGGGAGGTTTTTATCGTATCGTAATTATTCTTTACACCCGATAATAGGAGAGAACGAAAGGGGGTTTAGAGTGTTTTATTTGTTTAATCGTTTGAACGGTAAGTATCGTCGTTTGGAAATTTCCAAAGTTCGATTTCAACGAGTTAATTCCTCTCGATTTTATTCTCGCGTTTGTGCAAGACTTAGGAGAAACGTTTAATCAATTATAAATGGAAGATTGATACGGTTAAATACGCATTCGACGGATTTATTTCGTAGGAGCAAACATATCGAATCGTTTGCCTGGCTTTCAAGTTATCGAATCTCATTGTTCGACGGATGATATATGTCCCTCGCGTATTCGCGAATCACGCGGGTACGTTATCTCGCAGTAAAAGTATTTGCACTGTCCGCCATACTAGCTATTATTGATTGTCATGCAAATCGATGCATCGACTGAAGCCATACGAAGCCGAAGTAAACTCGGGGCTTCTTAACTATAGTCAGCTTGTATCATTCTGTGGCAGGCGCTCGAATGCATTTCTCCTCAACGTTGCCTTTCAACCATCGTCAGGAATTTTTCATTCGAAAATTCCGCATACATTTAGATGGATCCAAGCCAAATAAGTTCTTCGTAAATTCCGGATGCCGGGATCCTGTCTAACGCGATATCCGGCCGGCCATAATGGGAATTACAAACTCTTCGATCTTATGAAATTCAATTCGTTGCTTCGTACGTCGATGGAAAATTCAAAAATCACACGAATCGTTTTTTTTTCTCCGAAAAAAAGCGCAATTGTCCCACAGTTTTTCAAGCACAAAGTACAAAGAGTTTTAGTTTGAACGAATATTGCTGGAAAACTGTGGGTATCAACGCGCATTTTCAGAGTAGTCTTTCTTTTATCGAAGTTTCGTATGGACACCGCAATATTGTTTGAAAACCACAAAGCACCGTATAAAAGCACAGTGTAGGTATTTCAAAGACGTGGTCGTCTCGAAAAGTGATGGAAAAATATTCCGCTTTACTTACATTTAGAGTTTTTAAAATAACGAATAATACATCGGTGAAAAATTGGCACAATTATCTTTTTAAATGTTTCTATAACGTTGTTACAATTTTACAATTCATTATGTTAATGTAATTCCACGTAACAACTTGTTACTCGGAAATAAGAATGACTGATAGGGTAGGTAAGCCTAGGTTAAGTAGCTACCTGCATGGAGAAGTACAAGTACCAGTGACCTGTTGGAGAAGTGGTCACAGTGTGCAACTTCTAATCTAAGGATCCTTTTTCAAGGGAACTCTTTTTATTCGCAAAGTTTTACGACACTAATCTGGTCATTTTTCGTCTCGTTATGCGGCGATATTCCATGCTGAATAATTCTTTCAAAGATCTTAAGAATCTCGTAAAGACTGTTTTAGCTTTTCTTCACGTTCGGCAAGTGTTCGAACACTTACAAACGGAACAATCTGCAAGTACGTTATCGAAGGTATGCGAAGGATAAGTTGGGAGGTGACAGTATCGCTCTGATACAGAGTAGAAATAGCTCGCGTGAGAAGTACGATCGGTCAGTCGTCTTTTCTTCTCGTTTCGCTTTAGCACGCGCGTACAACCGAGAAATATACGCGTACGCGTACCTTTTCTCCGTGTCTTCGTCTTTCTCGCGGTGGTCTGAAAAGGGGTACAGAGACAGAGAGAGAGACAGAGTAGAGGGAGTGGAATGGGGGCAAGAGGGTAGGAGGAAGGGGCTGGAATGCCCCAGCGAAGAAGAGTAGAGAGAACCATGAGAGTAAGCCGCTTATCAGGGTGGCAGCAGGCAGTATAGGTCCAACCAACGCAGATAGGTGGGTTTCCATGGAAACACGGATCTGTCCGTTAGGTCCCTACGTACCCGCGTCCAGCCGCCTATCCGTTGTAGGCGTATCCGCTACACGAAAAGCCGTGGAACGAGCCGAGTGTCTCTCTGCCTCCATATGCGCTCGGTGCGAAAGAGGCAACCGGAAGAGACGTAGAAACAAGGTTCGCGGACAGCGAGGAAAGAGCTCCGCGCCCGAAGAGACTACGCTTTTATCGTTCGTTTATCAAGCAAACGTCATGGTCTGGCCGCCGCGCCGCGCCGCGTTCGTTGAATCTGCTGTCGCGACTGACTTTGGATTATTTCGTCGACCAAGCCGACAATAATTTTTCGACCAATTCCACGAACCGTCCGCGACGATAGATTAGCTCCCTTCGTCTTCTTTTCTCTTCCTCCCTTTTTTCATTCGCGGAATATACATAATGTACGACCGTCTGCGGCCATAGAGAATGTTAAGGATATTCGTCGCGTGCGCGGAAAGAGATAGAAATGTTTCGACGTGTCGTATGTTAGTATTTATTTTATTATACAATCGTGTACGTGGGGGTCGGAGTTTGGGCTAGGAAAAAAAGTGGTAGCTCCGGGCGGATTGGAGGGTGCGAAAAAGGAGGGGTGTCGAAACATTGTCGTTTGAACGCGGCGAGGTTTCTCCCCGGTGTTCAGGGACGCTGCAGGAGCCATCGGGTACGTGGGAATCGCGTCACATGCCTCTCCCTTTTCTCGTTCGGCCACTACTATTTGTTGTCGCAGAGAAATTGCCCGTCCACTTAACTTCCTCCGCCTCCCGGTGGGACCGTGATGCGTAAACAGACATCCACGCCTCTGATTTTCATTTTATGTTAGGTATCGGTGTGCGTAATCGGCCAGAGTCTACTTCTTACTTGTTCGCGTGCTCCTAAGATTTGTCGAGTCGCTAATCGAGTTAAACGTTAAAAGTTTCTAGCAGGGTAACAACGCGCGATCCTCGATTCCGGAGGCTGCCAGTTCGATAGAATTCCAATCACTCAATTAGGCGTCAGGTTAAGGGTGGCACGTGGCGGGAACACGTGCGGCCATCGGCTATACCAAGTGGCCACAAAATATCGAGCTAAACAAGCACGGGTGAAAGCACCGGGGAGAAATCTTTGTCGGAATAGGCAGGACTCGCGGCGATCGACGCGTGTCACGGGTAAATTGAGTAGGTGGACGGTGTCGTCCTCGAAGGAGGGATCCAAATACAGGTCCCGTCCTAATTGCAGGATAAACACTCGAGTCTGAGTGAAATATCACGTACAACGATATCGATACCATTTTCTCACAGAACTGCTTATTTCCCGTGTATAGGCTCCCGTCGATTCCTTCTCTACAAAGACCATTCTCCTTTTGATACAGTTTTAAAGTCGGTAGGTAGGTTACGCGAAGTAGGTGGATCAGTAGAGGGACTATCGAAGAGGAAGCGAAGGAAAAAGGCATCGGTTGGAAGACGGTAACACGAAGCTTATCCGATTATTCGCTTGTCCCGGATGCGTGTTGGTATTTCGTTACTTACTTATGCTCCTCTCTGCTATAGATTACCACGTAAGAACGACTAGGCCCGAAGGCCACACGCGTTTCTTTCCGTTCCTTATGTCAAAAAGTTGTCGCGGTCTTCTCAGCTGCAGATGCCTCGTTCTCAACCTTCGATAATGCCGTTTTCTCGGTTAAAGTCAGGGAGATAGGGAACCTGGTCCGGTGTTAAACGATCTTCTGGAAATTGCAATTGGAAAAGCACCGAAAGACAAACCGGCTCGGTGCGGTTATCTGCTTTATGCAGCGATTTCGCGGAGGTCAGCCTGTAAACGCAAAGTCGGCCGAATGTTTTCGTAACTGATGGCCTTTTAGAATTCCCTCTCCCATCGGCACCGGCACGTGCTATCATCCCACGGTCCCCTGAATAATCCATCCCTCCGCCTGCGTCCTGCACCGTCTAGCTGCCTATTCGCATTTTAGCTTTTAATTAATTTTCGATTTCCTTCTCCGCTCCTGTTCACTTTCTCTCGATCTTCGCCCGATCGCCCGAGTCCTCTTTGTTACTCTCGTCGACTCACGAATTTTGCTACCGTCGCGTCGCCTCACCTCGACTCGCATCTTGTATTCTATGAATACAGAAGTAACCGGGCCTGGCCGAGTGGGACACGTTTACCACTCCGCTAGCTTCGACTCTCCTTCGATTTTACGATATTCGCGCGGTACCGCGTAATTTATGGTTCAATCTCCGCAACTTAAACGTTCCGTGATGAATAGCCGGACGCAAAGTAGCCGGTTAATTCGCCGAATAATTACAGCCGGATTTTCTATAGAATTTGACCGATTCACCGGTGTAATTGATATTAATTTGCATTTTCTAATTCGATAAGCTTTCCAAGTTAGAAGTTTCTCGCGTTATCTCCGTTATTTATTATCCATATGCGTACACGCATATACCTACGCTCAGTCCCCGGTAACAAACCCCTAGATAAGTTGCGCGCCAAGGTTTAATCGCGTTCCCTAGACGCGCCATATTTCATCGCCGAGCATAGTTTTAGATCGTATCGCGGATAAGTAAGCGCCGCTCGTATAATTCATACGGTCGATCCGCGGAAACTCTACACCGCGTCGAACCAGCCTGGACGATAATTAAATTCACACGACGCGATTAATTAGTCCCTTTCGTTATTTCAATGTCTCGTTAAACGCGACCTGCAACGATCCTGCTAATTTGTTTGGAGGATAACAGGATCGATGGAAAAGTATCCGTACGATTGTAGGAGAGGACAGCAACTCTGTGGTATCGGGATCAGAGAAATTACTGTGAAATTTTGTTAGCAGTCCATTGACTTCCACGGATTCCGTTCCACTTGGAAGCTCGAAACACGAAACCCTGCGCGCGGAGGGAAGGAAGAATCCAATAAACAGAAAACGAATTTGCTATTAGGGTCGCGTCTGATCTCGTTGCGGGCCAATGAGCCAAAGCAACCCTTGTATCAACCCCCGTGTCTCGTATCCTCGTCCTGCTGACGATAATAAATCGAATCATACTTCAGGACGCAGCGGGTGTTTGCCGTCCCATTAGGGTTGCTTAGCTTTCTACCGAATCAAACCGAATTTATTTCGCTTCTAATTTCCACCTCTCTGATTCCGATATCTCGTCACCCTTTACCGAAAACAATCGATAAATCTGCTCTCGCGTAGAATTCAAGCAAACGAAGGGCTTTTCCTCGCGGCCCACTCGACACGCGGCGAGGAAGCAAGCGGAAGACCATAATCGGAATTCCATTGTCTCGTTGGTGGATAAGGGCCTGGCTTTCACAGGGGCCGATGTATAGCCGGCAAAGGCCGTCGTTAACGGTAGCGCCAACGCCCACTCGACAATCAAGCATCCTCTCGCTGGATCCGTTCCTCTCTCCCTTCGACTTTCAGCCTCCTCGGTTGCTCCGCGGAGGCAAACGGAACAGAAGATACGGATCATAGATTCAACGATCGCGGGCGTGTCGCGGCCATCGGTTGCGACGGTAGCCAACCGGCGTGGAATTTTACATTGTGCCCGGGTGCAATCATCCTCGACGATCTAACCGGCTACCCAACGCTGATAACCCACTCGACCAGTTCGTTAGCCGACGATCACGTGTATGCATCATCGTCGGCGTCATCGTCATCATCCTTTGCCTCGGCGCGTCCTTACGTATCGTTCGTAGCTTAAGGGAACCGTTCCAGACTCGTCGCAAGAGATACGACCGATACCAGAGAATCGACCACTCCTCGGTTTCACTTTTCTCTTATCGATTCTCCTTCTTCGACAGGGACGTTCGCGTTGCTTTCGTAATTATTATTACTCTTTAACCCTGCTGCACGTATACGATGCAACACAATGTCTTCTCCATGGTTGCTTTCTCTTCTCGTCGTAAACCACTCCTCTCGCTGTAGAAGCTGCTTCTTCTTCTTCTCGCCTTTTTCCGCCGCTTTCTCTTTTCCCGAATCTACCTCTACGAAGAACGAACACGGTAAGAGAGAAAATTTCCAAGGGAGTAATTGATCGAAGATCAACGAGATCGCGAGTTACGAGGAAACGAGAAGAATCTCGAATTTTATTTGTCGCGTTACAAACCCGTAAGAAGCAGCGGACGCGAGGTCGCGCTTTAAAATACTGGTCGGTTAGTTGGAGCACCAGTAGCGATCCTCTACACTGCTATCTACTACCATTCCTTTCTGGACTTTACGATCCAGCTTCCAACTGGGAGAGACACTGGGCGAAGCGCAGTTTTCCAGGTCCTCCTTTTTATTGGTCGAAACGTTGTACGTTGGCGTGTTGGATACCATCGTTTCCAGAGGCAGCTGGGAACGAACCGCGACTTTGGTCCTCTGGATGGTCGTGTATTCCGGGGTGTACCCCTCCCCTGCGTGGCCCCCGTTCCTCCGTTCTGGCTTGTCCCCCGTCCTCCTCCCTCCACCACCCCTGTGACCCCCTCATAAGCGGATTACGTGGGTCCCGAAACGAGCCAAGCGAGGCTCGATGGCACGAGGAAGGTAGAGGAAGGAGGGTGGGTCGTAGCGGGGGAACTGTTCAAAATTACGCTATCGCGACCTCGCAACGTTTACACCCCTCTGCGCCACCCCCTTTTCTCTCCTCCGGCCTGTGGTACCGATGCCTTACCCTTCTCTCTCTCTCTCTCTCTCTCTCTCTCTCTCTCTCTCTATACCTATATATAGTTGAACAGCCTCGTCGACTCGTCTTCCGAATCTACATACCTCTTTTCCATCGATGCTGCTCGATCACGTCAAATATTCCTACCTACCTACCGTCGTCCTCTCGCAGTTGCTTAATTCCTCTTCCGTTCTCTTCTGTTCCAGGAATGAATCAGCGCAAACAACGTCGCGAGAGAACCACCTTCACGAGAGCTCAACTGGACGTACTGGAGGGACTGTTCACGAAAACGAGGTACCCGGATATCTTTATGCGGGAAGAAGTTGCTCTGAAGATTAATCTGCCCGAATCACGAGTTCAGGTAAATTCGTTCTCCACGTATCTCTCCCTTTTCTCTTCTTCTCCGAAAGTGAAATGGTCGATAGCTATTAACACGTGTGTAACCGAACGGAATGAATTTCGGCGAGTGTGTCACAACGAGAAGAATCTCGGGCGCGCGGACGACGGTAACGAGTAGGAGAGAAGGAGGGAAGAAGAGTGCTTCGTGCTTCGGCAAGCATGGACGAGATTTAAGGTATTTACACAACGCGGTGTCGCGCCCTACGTCCCTCCGGTTTCGCCATTGTCCCGGACCGTGGCTGTATACATTGATAGATGTGCCGACGAGCTCGTTGACGCTTTTATTGCGGTCCTCGTAACATCTTTATTTCGTGGCGGGGTGTCTCGACGTCCCAAAGTCACGATCGTGACGGGAATTTCGAGATCGCGAATCACCCTCGCGAGACCCTTATTTTCCCCTCCACGATACCGCCATTAGCGTTACTAATATAATTTCATCGCGAATGTGCCCTGCCTCGGTTCGTCTGATACGCCCAATCCCAATTATCGACGATCTTTGAGCTTGCATGTGAACGGTACCTATAGGTCATCAAACTCGACGGCTACGATACATAAGGTAGCACCGCGCCGTCCTCAGATGTGGGACAAAGCGAGGAAATTCCGTCCAACGGAGTTTCCACGCGAAGTTAAGCCCTCCGGTGAATGGAGGCGCAACTGCAAAAGGGTGTAGCACACTGTACGTCACACGGGAACACACGTGTGCACGATGTACATTGTAGAGGAGTACCCACGTGAACGAATAATATCCGAGAGGGGGGGGGGGGGAGGGGGGGGGGGGGGGGGAAGGGAGAGAGGTGGGTAGAAGAGATAGAGAGCGTGGATCTAAATGTTTCCGAGGGAGAAGCAGAGGAGAGAGAGAGAGAGAGCAGAGGGCAGAGGTGTGTATAGGTAGAGGAACACAGATGCACGATGTATGGAGCTCAACATATAGTTGATTTGTTCCTGGATTATAGCCCTTCGTTCTATCTCGCTCGCGAGTTTCTATACGCGCGCGGTTCTCTGCGAGAGAACGACCCAGCTGCGCGCGATGTTTGCTACGTTTGAATGCGCCAGGTCGTTCGTCCATCATTTACGATCGAGAAACGCGTCAAAACGTTATTTCCGTCGGTGAAACAAAAAAAGAAAAAAAAGAGGAAGAGGGAGAGAAAAAAGAAGAGAAAATAGAAAAAGGCAGGAGAAGGTAGGGGATTCGCGACAGAAAAAACGAGCAACTTTTCTTCTGGTGAACAGGTTTACCTTATAAATTTATTCCTATTAAATTCTTCGTCGCGCTAATCTCGCGTTGTCGCAAGAAACATTCATATCCGGATCTCGATGCGACGCGTACGATGAGTTAGAAGTTATAGTAGGCGCCCGTCGCTTCGAACGAACGGGGCTCCACGCTTCTGGCACGGACAGACACCAGTACGAGACGGATCTCGTATTAATGGTACAAATAAGAAAATATATATATTTGTCATATCCGAACGTCAACGCAGCTGCTTCAGCTCGTGGCCAATGGGTTGGTTTTCCGCGCTGGATGCTAACCAGATGGTGATGCAATTTACACCTAGCCATCGGTACACAGAGTAAAACTGGCTGTGGTCGGGCCCGAGGGCTTCCGGATGGCACCATGGTCCGTTCCGTTGGTTTTTGGGGTAGCTGTGAGCTTCGGTTGTGTGTTGTTCCTGACGGGGGGTGTCGTTGTGCAAACATCGAGCGGTAATGGCCGTTTTCTCTCTCGTTCTTCCACCCTCCCGCACACGTAGGTACTTCTCTCTCTTTATCTCTCTCGCTTCGGGATCATTTCTCTTGCGGCTGATACGCAATATCCGCGTTTCGCCTCGGATCTTCGCACCCCATTTGCCGGGGACGTTGTTTGCGAAACGAGGATGAAAGAGCGAGACGGGTCTCCCTTATCGTCCGAACATCTTTTCACCTTGTCATCGCGTGTCAGTTCCAAACACTTTTTCGCCCTTGGTTAATTTCAACTTTTCAACCCTATACGAGATCTCTGCGACGGTCGTTTCTTCGTCCCTACAGTTCGGTCTCTCAACTCGAGCAACTAACACGGAATTCATAGCGACTCGAAATCCCGTGTCCGCTTCGGCGATTCGCGCTCTTCGCAACAACTGTTACAATGCCGTCGATAATAACAACAATGACGGCGGGTCTCGCTTTTAAAGGCACAGGCATAGATTCATAGGATCGCACCCCTGGCCACATTGTGTGCCAGGATTACAGGGGGTGCGTGAGGGGGAGTGAAAGGGGCTCTGTGCGCGCGAGTTTGCGGCCTATCGGGGGATACTTTTTGTCCTTCTTCTCTCCCCCTGGCTTCAAAGAAGGGAGAAAAAGAGAAGTCTCTCCTCGCTTCTATAAGCATGTATATATATATATATAGGATATACACACTTTTTCGATTTCGTTTCCTCGTGTTTGTTATCACAATCACGTTCACGACGTTCCTCGCGAATTATTCGATCTTCGCTATGGCAGACTGGGAAGCAACTCTATACTTTGTGTACGTACTTACACACATGTATATATATAAATAGGTTGGATGGATTTTCACTGGCACATGCCTGCTACTAAATACCGGCAACGTGATTCCCAAGGGATACACCGTTACACGTACGCCAGAAACTCGGTGCATACGTGTACGAGAGCCCCCGAACTACCACCCTTGTTCGGGCTCGTTGTTATTGTTGCGATTTAATGAAATGTTACGGCCGTCCGCCCGCGATTACTTTCCCATTGCACCGATTAATTCCCCATCGATGCGGCTCTATCCCTCCTCACGCACGGGACACCTTTTCTTCTCGACGATCCCTCGGGCAGTGGTTTCTGCGAATCCTTCGGAGATTCCCCACGGAACGTATCTAATAATCCACGCCGTTTCGAATATTCCTATCTAACGAAACGTTCCTTGTCATGTTTGCGCAGGTATGGTTCAAAAATCGTCGGGCGAAATGTAGACAACAATTGCAACAACAGCAGCAGCAACAACAGCAACAACAACAGCAAACGTCTCCCTCGAAAGGATCTCCCAGGTCGAATCAAGCGCAGAGTAACAGTAACAACGGGAACAAAATGTCGACGAGCTCATCGGCGACGCCCAGCAGGCGTTCCTCGCCGGTTTCTCCGCCGCGCGGCAAAGAGGCACCAGGACCGAATTCTCCTCTGTTATCAACCACGTCGACGTATCCGCGTCTAGGCGTGACGCCGACCGGCGGAAGCGGCGCGAACAGCGCTCTAACTACGCCGTCTCCGCCGTTGACCCCAGGTTCCAGCCAGTTACCACCGTCGTCTTATCCGCCTCCCATGAACCAGATTCATCATGGCGAGTATGGTTTCACTTGGAGTTCAGCGTCGCCCGGCTCGGTGAACCCGAGCCAATGTTACGCCGGGCAGACTTACAACGCCTACCAGAATCCGTACACCAGCGGCGATTATTATCAGACCCAGATCTCGCATATGCACCACAGCCCTCAAGGGAACTACCATCATCCCCAGTATCATCACAACATGACGCTCACTTCCTCCATGTCCCACTTGACCAGCCATCATCTGAATCCAACTGGTAGCAACGATATGGCGGCCTCACCTTCGGACTCAGACGGCTACATACTACCTGACCAGAAGTATCAGACGATGGTATAGCGGTCCAGCAGATCCTCCGGGATCTTTCATCGCGGCCAAGACGCCGCGGCCGGATCCTCCGCTGCTTACAACTGGCGCCTGAACTCCACGCCGAATTGCCCCGAGATCAACGGTAACATCGATTCCGATGATAATTCATAGACGTACACCCACGAATTTTAGCCGAGTTCACATTCAGCTGGTAGCAAACGAGGCGAGAGGGTTGAAACCCTCGTTCTTCTTTTTCGTCGCTCGCTAGACAGAGAGAGAGAGAGATTCGGACACGGGTTCGAGTTATCGCGAATAGAGAAGGATCGGAGAGAAAGAGAGATAGGTGAGCGTTGAAATAATTCACCCACCTTCGTGTACGAATTTTATCGCGTGTCCTGGTAAACGACATTGTCAAAGTGTTCGCGATTTGAACTGTTCGACGTGAACTATGTAAATATCGATGGCCACTGGTTTACAGTCTAGACATCGTGCTTTACACATAACGCTCGTTCAAAGTTTCAACCCGGGGACAGTTTCACGATTAATAACGCAACGTTATGGAAACACGAGGAGGTAGGTTAATAATGACGAAGTTTAAGAGAATTACCTATGTATATTGTAGTTCGCGGGTGCCTCGCCGTCATTAACGATACCATTCCTGGTGATTTCCGTCGCGATCGCGTCCAGACGAAATACAAAAAGGTGATCGAGTGGAAAGCGCGTAAATACGAGAAGATTTAGAACTGGTAGAATTAAACGCATCTCAATTCTCGAGTCGTTCACCGATGAGCTATTCCACTCGTCGCTTAGAATTGACTCGCGCGTTTGTCGTATTTCCGTTTCTCTCCACCGTCCAAACCTTCGACACGTTTTATTCCGCGGCTTTTCTATTCGATTTCAGAATTGATTTGCAATTAATTCGCTACCTCTAACAATCGTAGGTATATAGTTGTTAGCATTCGCGAGACATTTCCAAGACTGGAATCAAAATAATTAGGCATTGATCCCTTGCACGAATTTACCCAAGGGGAAGATCGATCGTTCGCTGTCCTGATATCGCTTCAATTAAATCCACAGACAATCGCGACAGAAACGAGAAGCAGGAGTAATCGACGATCGCGAAGCGTCTATTTAGTTTTGGGTCGATCCGCTGTAACGGGTGTATCAATTGCAAAAAAAAAAAACAAAAAAAAACGTATCGTTCCTTTATTTTTTCTTTCCCTGCCATGACGTTTCGAGGAACATGTGACTTTTTATGTTTTTCGCCGTTTAATTTCTCGTAAAGAAGAAGAGACTCGTCGGTCGTTACGAGTAGGAGAGCGAACGTGAAGGAGAAGAAAACAAAAAAGATGCGTATCACTTTTTCGAGCACTCGTGCTTACACAATTGCGAACGCATCGAAAAAATCGGCGAGCAATTATTTTATCGCGTAGTCGATGTTGTTTGCGAGTTCTTTAACGCGGAACGACGAGTACTCATCACTGCCGTCATTAATTCTTAGTATTATCGTTATGATCTTTATTCTTACGATTAACATTGTATTGATAATCATTCATATCAAGCACGGCCAGTAGCCGGAAGTTTCGTGTAAATAGGTAAAGCAAGGGTGCGCGTGTGCGTGGGAACGGACGATCGTAGGGACGATCCTGAGAGATCGCGGCGCGATGTCCCTGAAAGATCGCGCGGATGCGTTATCGCTGACTCATTCTTTACGACGGCTCCTCGATTATTCTCTCTCTCTCCTTTCTTTTCCGATCGGGGAGCCACGCATTTCTCGCGTTACGCTCGACGTAATCCGGGCAAAGTTGAGCAAACAAACAAACAAACAAACGACAAAAAAAAAAAGAAGAGAGGATATAAAAGTACGCGCGACACTTTGGAATAAAGGTAGAAAAAAAAAACACGAAAAAAAAAAAGAGAACACACTATCGTAATGATTTTCAGAGGCAGAAATAAAACGGAGATAAACACACACAAGTTAAAGACACAATTGTAAAAGACGCATACTTAATCGTGAGTGTATATTTCGTGTATACAACCCCTAGTGTATATTATCGTGGATTAGAGGATAAAAACGCAATTAAAAAATGAGAAAAGGTATCAGTAACATTAACGATAGCAGATGAATTAATTGTAAACCGTAATGAATATTGTGCGCACATAGATGTAAGTTACTTTGTAATAATACGACGCAAAAAAATGTACATAATTATCTAACTTGTAAGATACATGATTGTTCTATCATGTGAGAAGAAAATCTTCCTACGTCAAAATAAAACATCGCATATTATTAATAAAGTATTTGTCGATTTATTGAAACCGTTGCGCGTACGCTAGCCGTCCTATCGATGCGAAACAATTAATCTCGGCTCGATTCTAATTAACGTAACGTTTGTTCCGGCAGTGGCCTGTCTTATTTCGTTTCGATACAACGAGCTTATTGTAGATCGCGAGTCGGCTTCCTATTAATCACCTTGATGCTCGCAAGTTCTCGCCGCCGCGGGCTGTAATTTTGCTAATGCATTTGAAAGTAATTAACGTTGAAGCGATGCCGCGTCCCATTATTCCACCGAGCTTCTACACGTACATATATACATATATATATATATATCGATCGCAAACCATTAAAGGCCATATTAATTACAGACTCGTGGTCATGGGTAATCGCGAGTGCAATTTACGTACGCCACGTCCCGTGTTCTTTCCGATGTTATCCTGTTTTCCGCGAAATTAAAAAAGAACATTTTACCTCTGTGAAATAAACTTGCCAATTTATACGCTTCCATCTGCGAAATAACCTTCCATCGCCATTCGTACTTTCCTTCCTTTTTTCTCGAATCAACTCACTCGGTACTCGAACCGCTGTCGCCAAGTTCATCGCGCAAAGCGAGAGCGACGAGTGGTTCGGATAGACGCGAGCAATTAGTCCGCTTATTAGGAAACACGATCGATTCACTAGAGTTTCATCGGTGCATCGTTCATTACCTTAAAACGTCCCGTATTCCCTTTGACACGATCGAAGATCAAGAGTTTCTCGAGTATGACGACGGTCCATTAAGGGATCACAGGTGGGCGCGAGGACGCGTGTATATGCGTGTCGGTACGAAGGTGCACAGGAGAGCATAATTGATAATAGAGAGAAGGGTGGCGAGAGCGGCGTATTTCTAAATGGCCTAAACTCGAGGGACAAAGAACCCCGTTGCAGCCGAAGGCAGCACCAGGCCGGCCTGTGTGCCTGGCTAATTGGACAGATCGGGTACCTGTCTACCTTTTGACGGCGTAATCCGGCATCCTTTCTAACTCATCAAATTAACGGGGCTATAACAAATCGGCCGAGGGTGCTTAAGTACTACCGTAGTTCTTTGACGACCCTTTCGCATAATCGCCGCGCAAATCCTTTCGCGACTTTCTCTTTAAAAGAGGATCCCGATTCATAGGGAGTGTACACGACCGAATTATCTCTATATACTCGATTCAAATCCACCGTCAGTCTGTTCAGCCTCTCGTAAGTGCTATCTATCGAACGTGAGCTCGGATCGTAACTACCGTCCATCTTAACCGCGAATAATAAAGCGTAGGCAATAATAGAACGAACAAACGTTTCCTTCGTTTATCCGATTTATCGATCTTACGGCGAAGATCCTGGTCAAAGGGAGGGGGAGAATAAAAGTAAGACGGACTTAATAAACTGCCGATGCCTGTGTAAAATTCGAACGGTGGTAATAAGATTATACGCGAAACATGGCGTTAAAAAGTAAATTACGTCCATTCTTAATTAAGTCGTTCGATTGGTGAGTAAACAAGGAAGAAAACGTTGGAGGATTTTTCTGGATGGGTTAGCCGGATTCTCCTCGAGGAGAGGGAGAGAGAGAGAGATCCTGGCGACATTTTAGACGGGTTTGCGAGTGTCGACCGTTCACTTTCAGCATGGTGAAGACAATGGCCTTGAACTTGGCCGAGTGCTGTGGCGAAGAGTTAAAATCGGCTTGCGTTTAGCCGGATCCCATTATAACAACTCGGAGCCGGCCGTAAGCTTCATGGCTTGGTTCCGTTCACTGTGTCACCGGGCTAAGCCCCGACTTACCTAGTACCTATCCTTGCAAACCGCTCTCTTACCCCTTTTCCTGCAGCCTCCCTGTCTATGTTAGTTTAATACTCGCATTATGCCCTATTGCCACACCTACTGAAAACTTGCACGATGATCGAGAGCCGGTACGCGGAAGCCCATCGGCCGCCGGAACGGCGCTCCATCGTCCTCTTTCTACGAATTTTCGAAACTTCTCTGTTCACCGGTTGCTCGCTACCGGCACCACCCCTACACCTTGAAACAGATTTACGCACGAAGATTATCGACCGTCCGATTGTTTTTACCCGACGGATTTACGACCTTCCCTTGTCGCCTCCGATCGATCATGGTCCTTCCTACGGAGTCTGGTATATCCTTTTAAACATATTTAAACATCTTCTCCGAGCATTACCGTTGTTTGTTTCTAAGTCGTTCGTCGTTGTTTTCACACCCGGTGCGAGCGACGCGAGCGACAACGAAACATAGCCGAGTGAGAAGGAAAAGGAGCTTACAGTTTGACCTGTATTTTACGTTTTACCTCGAGGTTGAACCGGCTCACAGGTGAAAATACGAGTACCTATTTGTACTCGAGAATGTTTACGCGCATTATATTTTTCACCTGAGCCCGGCTCCCTGATCGGAGGGAGTTTGACACGCGAGTAAATCTGGCATTATGTACGCGATCGTGAAAAGTTGCAAACGTTGAATTTCCACCGACTCCATTTGCAGTTGCCTTGGCCATATTTCACTCGATCGTAGACACAACATCGATGCGCAGCCCCCGTCGTGCCGGCGGTGACAGGAAACTGTATAAATAATGCACCGGTGAGAATCGGTTTAATAATTTCGCGCGAATTTATTCATTAATTCGAGGACGTCGCACCGGCGACAAATGTTACACGACTGCTGCAAATCCCCCGCTCGCATTTTCCATGGAAAACACCGGCGATTATCGCGGCCTTCTCTATGAAACGGGGAAGTGAAACCGCTCCGGCGGTCGCGTCGCGCTTCTTGTCGCGGACGGGGGGCTATTCGATTAATTATTTCGCCGTTCGAAAATGCATTTACGCGTGGCGAAACGAGAAAGATCAGCTGGGAGGACGA